TGCTTACTGCACCAAGGCTCTCCTTCTCCAAACCCCACCCAAGGGCATTCCTCAGCCTCTACAAAGATACCCCCGCATCCTCTCCACCACCACCAGCACCAATCCCCATGGATTTGACTCCACCTCTTAAATCACAAATTGGTTTAATGCTGAAACAGACAGTCCACCAACTGAGGGGAAAACTAAGAGCTTCTCCTCTGAACTACTGCCTTAAATATCTGATTTGATTCAAGCTTGTATTCACTTTACCTTTAACTTTACCTTTAACATTTGTGGGAGGTTGTAAATCTCCCACTCCCCACCTGCTGATGGGCAGTCTTATGTTGAGGGTTCGCCCTGTAAGTTTCCCAAAGACTGGGTCGCAACCCTCAGGTGGGTCGCAAGAGTTTTTCTTTTTTGGGTCGTCTCGCATCATGTTTCCCAGGAGGTCACGGTCAGCGCAACGAATAATTGTTAATTAATTAGTCAGTTATCACTCGGTCAACAATAACATATCCTCATTAATGTTCAATAATGGTCAAGTACACCTTTATTTTGTGATTTACGAATAATGTCTATTGACTTGGTCGTGAAGGTTTGTGACTTATAAAATATGGGTCCCCAGAAAAAAGTTTGGGAAACACTGCTGTGAGAGAAAAAAGGCAGAGCTGGTATGCTGGTTTGATATTCAGTTTACAGACTAACAGACTAACAGCTGCTTTTGAATGAAAATATGTTCATGTTGCATTGCACTTGTTATGGTATTTTTACTACACCAGGAGACTTGAAGGCGGTTTGCTGTTGTTGGCCAAAAGGTTAAAGGACAAGCATTAAAGACATTGAAGTTATCCAAACATTTCTGAAAAGCATGTTTTTTGTTTTACTTTACCGACTGACCTAGAGAATGCCATTTATTTTCTAAATGTAGTACATTGTAATACTTGGTATTTGCAGTCAGAAAACTACTAGATTGTCAGAAACAGATACCCATCAGTTTCTACTACTTGGGCAGTCATTGATTTGACTGGTGCAAGGTGCAATATCTCATAACTCCAAATACTGGTCATGTGCGCTGGATATGGGAATTTAAAAAGAAAAAAGTGATTGGAATTGTGTTTATTTTCCTGGTAGTCAGGAGTACCATGTACTGTAGCTGCATGTATGACTCTTTTTGGGACCAGTAATGACACTGCTGACCTTGACAATGGAGCTGCACACATACAAAAAGTGATCATTAGAAATGTTCTGTCTGCATGTGATTGATCAAGAAATTCAAGGTTACAGCACAGGCACCTACAGCAGAAATTAGCTTCAAGGTTACAGCACAGGCACCTACAGACGTTTTTGTAAGGAAATGGCGGTGGATGTGCGTTTGATCAAGACGCCACAAACGCAGCAGATGTAACATCGGACAGAAAGACAAATGTGCGACAGAGAGTGAAAAGATCATTTGTCATTTGAGGGGGGTTGCGAGGGGGGGTCTCTAGACTGTAGACTTTCGTGTCATTTATTGCACAGAGAACCTTGTCATCACAACTGTACGGAGCTTTGCAGCAAAGCTGTGTTGACACAACACTGTATATTTACTTTTAAGACGTGACGTTACTCCTGCTAGTTTTACACCATCCGTGGCTCTGATATTTACACCGTGCCATCGCTTGGCCTCACCGCACACCAGATTGATTTCTCCACTTTAAAGTGTGCAGATGGACGGTGATGCTAACCACGTGATAGATGAGCCTTTTGGTTATTTCATTTACTCCTACCTAATGCTTGTATTTTGATGTATGATTTAGGAAAACCAAGGCACCAAATCCACTGAATCCTGTAATGTACAACTGTTAATATTAGACTAAGAGTGGCTAAATAAATCCAATTAAAACAAAAAAAAAAACAAAAAAACATGACAGAGCATTTTTAAAACCGCCGAGTGTGTAATTGTGTAAACGCTGATGTGAAATGTTTAAAAAATGCATGATTGACTTTTATGTCTCTTGTGAACTGCGTTGACCCAAATTTTTGTTAATTGCTTATATTGTGCGTGTGTAAGTGAGTGCGTGCGTGTGTGTGTGTGTGTGTAAGTGAGTGCGTGTGCATGTGTGTGTGTGTGTTACATTGTCTGTGTGTTCACCTCAGTATCTCCTCACACAGCTTTGGAACAGACACTGGTAAATTAGGCTTAAGCCGAGCCGCACTGCTTCAAATAACGTGGTCACGCTGATTACCCTCGGCGCCTGTAAACCAGCACGAGCCAGAGACAAATTAGTTGGGATTGATAGTTTATTTGTGTTCGTGCCTGGTCTTTGTCTCACTGCTCAAATGTCGCCTAGTAAATAAAGGGAAAGTTGTCCAATTTTTAATTTTAAGTCTTTCTCTTAAGTACAAAACATCATTAAAAGCCTAATACAACCTGCTGAATTTGTAATTACTGTGACATTGAGACATTAAGAATATTCTGTATGCAGGTTATTCACAGTACATGAATAATAACAACAATATGAGTAATGATAAATGTTCATTTTTGGACCATTTTTGTCAAAGATACCCTTTCAAAAATTCAAAACAACAATTACACAAATGGCAAGCTTTTAGTTCTCCCCATTTGCTTGGGTTCATATGCAAACCAGACTATTAAAAAAAAACCTTAATACAGAAATGAATAAATAATTCCCAGAGCAATTAAAAATGTATTAAATTATCATTTTTGGATAACAGGAATTTGAGAGGCTGCTCCTACCAAACTAAAAAAAAACAACATTAACCTAAAAACAAAGTTAAAAAACAACAACAACAAACAAAACATGGTTGCTGTGTGGTGTTCTGCTGGAACCATGGAGCAGGGGACCAATCAGCTTGTAGTTTTCACCTGGATTATTTTTTTCACCAGTAAATCATACACAGACAAACACACTTCCAGGAATAGAGGTAAAAACACAGGGCGTGGCATATTAGTAAAAAAGTGGTGAAAAAGATTGTGTTTGTTTTGACATATATTTATAGCTTAAATTAATTGTAAAGTTGTAAAGTGTAACGTTGTCTATCTTTGGCTCAAACCTCTGTATGCCAATCAACTGTCTGGTTTAGTGTTAGCAACAAGGGAACTAAGAGCAGCATCGGAGAAGAAAAACAAATTGTCATCAAAAGTCATCATATTTCCCACTGTTATGACACAGCACTTTAAGCTAAAGATGAAGACTTTACATTGGAGCAGCCAGACTGTGACGTGTGAGACAATCCAATTATTTTTATTTAATAGTTAAATGATTATTCAATCCTGTCATTATGAAATGAATTATAAACTTAATTAGTACAATAATTAAAATATTTATCATCCTCTTCAATAATTACACCATTTATTACAAAACAAGGACAACACTGTCACAGAGTAACATTAATTACCTGCATTTCTTTTTTTTACAGCAGAGCCTTTTTGCCTTGAGTCAATACCATTAACTATATGGAGGTTCCTATTTTTTTTTTCTTCAGAAATTATTAATAACACTCTTGTCATAAATATGGCTCAAACCCCGTCACCGTCCCATTGGGGTAAAAGACAGAGCTTGGACTGTTTTGCAACAAATTACTCTGCAGAGAGAGGAAGCTGTTTTTCCGTGACTTTGACAAGGAGATACCAGGCCAGCCAATCAGCTGTTGTGGTTGTTAAAATGACAGACATGATGAATGTGATATGATTAAAAATGAAATCACAAAAAAGTAAACCATCCTCAACATGTGGCCATTTGATTTAATTAAAGCTTGCACCTAAAGGAGCCCCCCTGCAGGAGGTGCTGTCGATTTAGTAGTGATACCTAGTTCTTGCACAGCAGTTATTTATATATATATAACTGTCATATATATACAGTATATGTGTGTGTGTATATATAAATGTTATCCAAGAAACGGAAATTATAAAAGGAATGACTTGTGAGTCTTAAATATTCCTTATTTTAGTTTTTAAGGCTACTACTTAGCTAGTCTACACTGAGCTAAGTTATGTATAATGCACTGTTTGCTATTACTGCACAACACATTGTGATTGAACGTATCCTCTCTAATGTTTATTCTGTCTGGTAAGTATTTACTACCTCTCAGAGTTTTACTGCCTTGTGCTGCTGCATTGCCCCATTTTAAATATCCCCATCAGGAGACTGATCAAGAGAAATCTTCATCTTTATGGTTGCAAAAACAAATGTAGATCATATGACATTGACTGAACCATGAGAAATTTGCTGCAATAAATCGATGAATATAAATGCCAAAACCATACACAAATTGAACGATATAAAAAATAATACTTTTATAATATATTATATTTATATTAATATATAATTTAATTATAATGTAAAATTATAATTAATATAATATATTATATTATGTTGAAAACAGACATACATTAATCATGTTGCAGGTCGTACCATTCAAAACAGTCAAAAACCAGGTTAAAGCAATTAAAACTATATTTTTTATATAATATAAATTTAGAAAAAATACATTTAAAAAAATAAAGGCATACAAACATTGTAGTGGAAGAATTTACTTAAGGGGTTTTTTCCCCTCTTCACAAAATTATCTTTTTGTATTTAACTTAACTTTAAAAACTTAACTTAACTTGTCTTTAAAAAGCAGACTTGGGTCCTGAAGGTTTCAAAAAGCTGCCCACTGTTCACTTTGGTGATGGGTTAAAGACAGAGGTCACATTTGGTTGTGTGCAGTGGTGTGCTGTGTCACAGTGACAAGGAGTTCACTTTCTTTCTTTCTTCTTAAAAGTTAATGATGAATTTGGGTGCAGATCGTAGTACAGTATGTATGTAGTGGCATGGCGTCTGTGCTCAATTCTACATTGATTGGGACATACAAAACAAAACAAAACGTACCATTTTTACCATCAACGATCCATTCATTCGCACACTTTAATACATTTGAATTTCTGTACATGGTAAATGCCAATATTTGTTGGTGAAAAAGATATTTTAAAGGATTTCTTCACCTCCCAAATATTTGACTTCCTCTGTATGTTCTAGACTTGGACGGGGGTTGGTGAGTCCAGTGCTTTCACCGAACTTTTGCCTAAAGACTACAGCTATTTAAATTCCCTGCGGACGTAAGGACGAGGAGGAGGAGGAGGAGGAACGGCAGTTGTTTTCAAGAGTCATTCTAAAGGTAAGCAGCTTTCATCATACTCGTTTACCAGGGTTGAACTGAGTTTCTCTGAGCTGCTTTGCTCTCACATGATTTTGTGAATGATTTTGCTGATTTCCTGGCTGGTGTTATGCCAATGATAACGTTGTTATCGTTGGGGATTTGAATATCCACGTATGTTGTCCTGATAGGCCAGTCACTGTAAATATGATAATGTTGAATATCCAAGTATGTTGTCCTGATAGGCCAGTCACTGATTCAATTGAATAATTTGTGCAGTCCGAGCGTAGACACACACTAGCTCTTGTTTTATCATATGGGTTGCCAGTTCTGAAATCTGTGACGCAGTATTTTGGGATGTATTACTTTAGGGTTGCTGTTGGCTGTACTACAGTTAAATCTGCCGCCGCTGCTCGACGCTGCCGTATCATTAACCCTTCCACTGCTGTTCAGTTCTTAGCTTTTCACAGAGAAAACTGCGTCCTCCCAGAGTTTGTGTAAAACACGAAGACGCTTAGCTTAGCATCTTAAAAGCCGTTATAAACAAGGTGGCTCCCCTAAAAACCAGACGGCCTAAAACTAAATTCGAGCCCTTCAAAAATGAAGCTGATGCTCAGGTGCAGCTCCGCCACATCCTCTCCTTGGCCTTCGTTTTAACTATTTCCTAGAAGAGGTTGACTCTGATGTTTTTTTTCTGTAAGCGTTAAAGTCATAATCAAATAAAGATGGTTTGGATTGGACTGGATAAACTGCCCCCTCTGAGAGGACAGAAAAACGAGTAACTCTTGGGCGAAATGCAAAAATGAGATCTGCAGATAGCACACAGTTGCGTTCTGTCCATCATGTGGAGAACGTTGACGATGTTGAACATTGAAAATTGGAGAAAATCCAGCAAATTACTGTTATAAAGTGTTTGTGAAGAGGAAAATTCTTAAAGTAGTTTTTTTTTCTTCTAAATGTTTCTATCATCTAAAGTAAAGTTGTTATTGGTTATATTGGTTATAAAGCGTTTTTTGTTACTATTTTGAGTGGATTTACACAGTGCGGGTGAAAACGACCCACAACATCATCTTTGTAATCTGCTCTGCGCTGACATTCCTCGACACATTAAAGCGTCCAGATTTTACACACGGGGTCATGACCCTGGAAGCTCTTTGTTTGTAAATGACTGGTTATTTTTTACGCAACAGCGTGTGTCGGTAAATAGTTTTGGCGCGGCCTTATCATCTGGGTGATTAGGAGGGTGATGCACAGCTGGGGTGACAATATCTATACACGGTGATGTACGGGCTGTGTTCATAAAGAGACAGCCGGGGAGATGGATGGAGTACAGATTAAATATTAGGGGAAATGAGGACAGTTTCATGAGCAAAGATAAACCGACACTGACGACGCTTCACCCAGTGGAACAAGGTGGAGCACAAAATCTCAACACCGCAATTATATTCAGTTGTTGGTGGAGCTCCAAGTGAAAGATAATTCAGGTTTATCTGATGTTACTCAGATGTGATTGCGCAGCAGCAAATCTGTTTTGTTGGTAGTGAAAGTTGAAAACGCCTCATTGTGGTTAATGACATCTCAATGCTGAAGGAAACATAGGAGATAAGAAGAACTGTATATACATATATTCTGATACATATTTGTCAACTCTAAAACAACATACGCCTCCACAGACGTGGACGTCAACATACAGTAGTTTTTTCTAAAATCGCTGGCAAATTGAGAAATATTTTCTGAATCGCTACCATTTGCATATTACAAATTAGGTTTGGGAGCAAGGACACATAGTAAAGGGTCAAAAGGTTAACCCCGGTCTGAAAAATGAAACCATGTTGCATTGTTGAGCTTGACTGTAATCAGCAGTCAGCACTGGTCATTTGTAATGAACATAAAAAAGCAATATTTTAGTGCTGGGATTCCCAACAGTGCACGAAAAAATAAAATAAATAACCTGACTTCAACCTGACTAAACATTTATAAGAAAGCATATTGGGCTTTTTTTTTTTTCTTTTTTTTTTCCAAAGGTGTGGAGAATTGGGGGTGTGTCAATCCAGTTGGGACAGAGAAACAAATGTGCAGCTGTTTTAGGGTTTAAAACAAAAAAAAATTGGGAAATCCATATGAAACTGTGCAGAAGGTTCTCTCATATTTCCAGTAACAGACTGTTGAGATGAACATCACACAAACCACACACACAGTCGAAAAGGTGAAAGAAATTGGCCACAGAAGAGCTTCTGTCAAGAGCGATTCATGTTGTGATTTGTGCGATTTATGAGCTGCAAATAAAGTTTTTGCCAATTTTTTTTTTTTTCCAAATCCCGCCTGCTGTTTTCCTGGAGGCAGAGTGGAGTAACACATCACTGTAACGTGCACTTGGACCAAAGTGTGTGTAGATGGTCAAACTTGGCTGGATTGCTCAGTTGCAGCCGAGGAGCTAAGCGTTGAGATGAGGCTGAAAGTAAACCCAGACAGTCAGTGAGCTCAGCTCCAGAGCTTGGAAGCTGTTCCTCTGGCGAGCGGACATAAAAGCTGGCACAGGAGGCGGCGCTAGCCGGGCCCGGCTCGCTGGCACTGCCGCGGCTACAGAAGTGCTGCGCGATATCACAGTGAAACAGATTGAGATTAGCCCTCCGTGGTCCACAGAGGAGCAGAGAGGGATGTAAGTCGGGCAGAGGATGGAGAGGGAAGAAGTGATAGAGTTGTGGTGCAGTTTTCATCATTTTGGAAGGATATCCTCTAAAGTGCACATTAAGGGAAAGATTTATCTCCCTCCTTTCACGCTGACATTCTGTACCCATGCTTCATTGCAGGCAGCGACTGCCAGTATTTGCAGCCATTCGATGATAATAACTGAATGTCTTTTTCCAACCTGCCCTGGTTTCCGTTGTCCTACTTGACAACTCACATTTGCCTCACAGTCAACCCTCGGGGTAAATTGGCCCTAATTGCAAATACAACAGTGCGTTTCTGCAGCTCTGGATTTTTTTCGTTTTGTCATTCCAACACTTCTGACAGCTCCTGGAGTGAGACATCCCTCTCTTCTGGTTGCTCTCTGCTGCCATCATGTCCTATAGGAGTAGGTTCAAAGTGTCAGGGTGACACAGCGGCCTTTGATGGTATTAGCTGTGTGCGACAGAAACTGCTTTTTACACAGCACGATATCCTGTGTGTATTCTATATTTGTGCCATACAGTACCGTACTTGCACTGTATGGTTTGAATTTTGACTGCAGGGGTTTTACAAAATTGGATTAGCCATTATCACAGAGGATTACAAATAGGATGGTAGTCGCCAGGGAACAATATTTCTTACAGGGTGAGTGACAGCTCATCAGTTCAGTCAGGCCCACGCTGAGTGGGCCGAGCCCTGAGGCCCCTCGCAGCTGATTTGCTGGCTGATGAGAACTGAGGTGTGATGACACTAAACTGCATCCACATTTGAAGTTGTTTTTCTGCTGTAATCTACTGAAAATGTACTTATTTGTCATTGTTAGGACTAAATCGTTAGCAAACTTAAGGCCCGCGGGCTGGATCCAGCCCATCATGTGATTTAATGCGGCCCATCAGAGCTTCACATGTGTATGGTTGTGTTAAAGTCTGTACTAAAGTGTATTGGACAGGTTAAATCCAATGGTCGAATTCTGTGTTTGTAACATTGCATGGCACTTGCTCTAACTAACTATATTACTTACTTTAATACATACAGTTAGCATAAACTACATTTTCTTTTGAGACATATCCTACAATTTATGTGTAATATTATATATTCTTATTTTGCCTGTTGAGATTTTTGAGTTTCATTTATTTTAATGATAAAAAAGTCTGCTGCAGTCTGTTCAAAATTCTTCATTTCTGGTGAAACCATCGTCAGTACCAGTCTGTTCTATAAACGTTAATCCCAATACAGCCCACAACTTAAACTGGGAGACTGGTACAGCCCAATACAGCCCACAACTTAAACTGGGTTTTAAATGTCAGCCTCTTGAGTGATCGTGTTTGAAACCTGCCAAATTAGATAATCATTGATCATCAGTATAGACCGCATGTTTACTGTAAATTTTATTTCGAACAAAATTGATTAATGGACATTTGTTTAAACACTGGACATTTTGGACTTATTGACGCTATGTGAAGTTGGTTTAATAGTCGGAATGAATGATATATGTAACAGCCATTAGCAGCTATCTGAGTTCATTCATAGTTTAGATGTTTCAGCTGCCTTTTGGTCCTTTAATTATTCTTTTGGTTTCTGTTTCTGGTCATTCTTTCAGTGTTTATTCTCTGTTAATGATGTCCCCGGTCTATACCGAGGCAAATTAATCTTTGATTAATGGACATTAATCAATTTAGACCCCGGTCTATACCGAGGCAAATTATTCCCTATAGCGTCCCTACATAGGTCAATTAAGAGATTCCACAATCGACACATGGAGAAAAGCCACACATACCCGAAACATTCTCAAAACGTATTGGCATTTTCTGCGACTGTACCACACGCAGTAGCAGACATTTCCAGCACTACGTCAAGCATTGATATGCTTGGTAGATTTCACAGTGAGCTTTTACCCAATGTAATGTTTCTGACGTCTGTGATCTAACTGACAACAAAGTCAGACTTCTCAGAAGGATTTTATTTTTCTATTCCAAGAACATGAGTGTGTTAAATAAAGCTGTGACATCATGCATCGGTGGTGAGTCACAGTGCTCTGCCAGGAGGGTTGGCTCATCACTTAGCGTTAGAGGAAGGGCTTGGATCTGTCTGCTGGTTAAGGAGGTTATGTAAGGGACTGGAGACGCGGCATCGATGTGTCCGATGTGTCAATCTGCTGTTTGTTAGCCCCGTGGCGTAAACTGGAGACGTTATAAACCACAGTCCATTCAGGAGCTCTGTGCTCTGTATTGTGAAGTTAGTGGCTTATATATTTTCAAATTAAGGCCCTAATATATGCATAATGTGTTCAGTGGCCAGGTTACTAAAACAGGACTTGAAAACAGTCAACATCTGTTTTGTGACCATAGGAG